TCAAAAACTATTGAGCAAGTACTAAGTCAACAGAAACTGCTGAAATTGTCAGAATAGAAACAATAAAAACTGAATACATTGTCTGATTCAAGAATGAAGTCTCAAAGAAAGCAGGTAACAAGAATAGTGAATGATTAAGAGACCTAAGTGATCAGATAAAAGTGATCAGATCACAGTTCGAAATTGTGATATATTATATACTGACCCGCGAGATTAACCTGACAGATGATAAGATCAGAAGCATCATCAAAATAATAGAAGAAAATAAGCTCATAGATAAAGAATTCAAAATTGTGAATATTATATGACTTAAGAGAAGAGACTCTAATCTAAGAGTATCTATATCACTTAAAATCTGATTCAATAATCTAGAAGTCATGAAATGAGTTATAAATAATGAAATAATCTTCAGATATAGATATCTGAGAAGCGTCAAGTTGTATCAGATTAAGAAGAAAAGATGTCACAGATGTCAAACATTCAGTCACTTAGTATGAAATTGTAAGAAGGCACTTCATTGTGAAATCTGTATCAGTGAATATAATATAAATAACTATTTATCTGAAGTAAGATTCAAATATATGAACTACAATGATTATCATCTGACAGAAGTGAAAGAATGTAGAATTAAAATCAATATAATTAATATTTAATAATATTATAAATAATACACATACTACAACTGAATACAATGAGAATGAGAGTTATTATAAAAGCTCTCATCAGTAGACTGACCGTGTGACCGTGTCTGAGAGAAGAACCAGATTTTTTGATAGTCTTATTACCAATTTGACTGATCTCATTACACAGTTTTAACATTAGATAGTAGTTTCATACTGTCTCAGTGAGACTTACTGTCTACTCTTATTACATTTTTCAAATGAGATCATGATTTTCACTTCTCAATTTAAATTATTTTTATTGCTTTAAATGACTTTAAATCTCATTTGAGTGTTATCAAAAAGTGTTACTTTTTAAAAAATTAAAAATAGTCTAAAAAAAACCTTAAAATGTCAAAAATAGTAACTTTATGCTAAGAATGAGACTAAATGTGATCAAATGAGACCACTTTCTCATTTTTTTCAAGTTATGGTTTCATTTTAAGATCTGATATATAGTCACTTTACATGTTTTTTTGATAGTCAGTCCCAGCGGGATTCACGCCAAGAAATGTATGAGACCAGATCAAATGAGATCAAACATGAAATTCATAGTCCCGGCGGCCAGTCTACTCATCAGTGACTCAAAGACAATGAAGCTTAACATACTACTTATACAGAAATCACTCTTTATCTTCTATAAAACACCTATTTAACATCTCTAATGAAGAGTATTTAAGACTAGACTAACTACTGAGATTATAAATTTCATATTTAGTCTTATTTAATCTAGTTTCATACATTTCTTGATATGAATCTCACTGAGACTAATTATTAAAAAAACATGCAAAGTAACTATATATCAGATTTTAAAATGAGATCATGACTTGAAAAAAATAAGAAAGTGATCTCATTTAATCTCATTTAGTCTCATTCTTAGTATAAAGTTACTATTTTTAGACATTTTAAGGTTTTTTTAGACTATTTTTAATTTTTTAAAAAGTAACACTTTTTGATAATACTCAAATGAGATTTAAAGTCATTTAAAGCAATAAAAATAATTTAAATTAAGAAGTAGAAATTATAATCTCATTTGAAAAATGTGATAAGAGTACACAGTAAGTCTTACTAAGACAGTATAGAATTACTACCTAATATTAAAATAGTGTAATAAAATCAGTTAAATTAGTAATGAAATTATTAAATATTCTGATTCTGATCTCAGACACAGTCACACAGTCAGTCTATTTAAAATAATAAATATAAATACTGAGATTAAGAAATACAGTCTGATATATATTAATAAACAAATCTCTATCTCAGTCTATAGACAAGTGTAATGTGACAGTCTGAATATTACTGCAATTTAAATTTAAACAGAATCAGATCAGATTCTGATTATTTCTATATATATACTCTTATTTAACTCTGAGAAAGCATTACATAGTAGTAATAAGATAGTATTAACTCTGAATATAATAAATTATACAATTCTACAGATATTAAGATATAATATTGCAATTAGAGAGAATTTTAACTATTATTATCAGTTATAAGATAGTATCAATATTAATTAAAGATAGTTAAGAGACACTGATAAACTACTGAGCTTTATATAAATATATTATTTTCAAAGCTATGTTCTGTCTGAAGTACTTATTTACTGATTAAGTAATTAATCTGAGATTTAATTAACACTGAATCTGATACTTAGTAATATTCAGTAATAACTTCTTAAGTAATATTTTTACTCAGATAACTATGAGTCTGATCACAGATAGACTAATCATGTAACTGTATCTGAGATCAGAATCAAACTTTACAGTTATTTTATTGTTTAAAAGTATTACTTCTAATCATGATTTGTATTCATCACATTAATTTCAAATCACATTATTTCAAATATTAAAGATTTCAGATTGACTTTTCAAATAAAAATCTAGTTCTGAATAAAGAATATATTTAAATTCTTAGTCACATTTTTATTCTGATCTCATTATTGAGAATGATATTAAATAAGATTATAAAATCACTTCTCACTTACATAATATTATAATATAGTGCTCATTTATTGAAAATTTAATAGAGAGTATTATCAAATATTATTACTTTTCTAAACACAGATCATAATTTATATAATTTTAATTATAAAAAAAATATAAAATACAAAAAAAAAACAAAAAAACAAAAATAAAAAATAAAAACAAGAAAAATTCAGAATGAATAAAAAAAAAAGAGAAAGAAAAAAGAAAAGAAAAGAAAAAGAAAAAAATAAAAAATAAAAATAAAAAAAAATCAAGATTACAGAGCTGCAGTATCTTTAAAATACTTACTTCTCAGAGTCTTTATAATGTTTATTATTAACTGTGTATCTCTCACAGTAAGAATAATACAGTTATAATAAGTTATTATCTTAATATTATCTGATAAATAATCAGTATATATCTGTATAAATGTGAATATTTAGAAAACATATACTTAAAAAGTATGACCAGAGTGAACTCTGCTGTCACTTAAATAATATTAAGAGTAGAATGCTGAAATTGATGATTTCTCTCATTAATTTCATGAATAAGACAGGTGAAGATAATCTTAAGAAATATAATATTCTCTGACTTCTGATAAAAATAAATCTCATAGAGAGACTCTATTTTCATGATATCAGAGACTGAGTGTTACTAAAAAGTGTTACTTTTATGCAATATATATACACTTACTGCAATAATTCACTCTCTGTGTATATAACTAAGAGTTGTAGCTTTCTTATACTGCATGACTCTCTCTGAGATGCTGGCACTGATTTGTAATTCATACAGTCTCTTAGTTCAGCATGTACTGTGTATATACAGCTTTGTATACTGAGACTGTGTTAATTATTATAACCTGATGTGATACTCACTTTTCACAGGCTATGTTTCATTTAAGAGAGAGAAAGAGAAAGATGCAATTATGATTTTATTAAGAGAGAATGAATAATTAGTAATATTGAATATAATTTAATTCTTCTATATTTAAAATTTGATTAGTCTGTACTCTTCAATTTAAGAGTTTTTAAGAGTGTTTTAATAGTTTTCATACCAGCTTGAACTTAGTGATGAGTTGAAGAAGAACAGAAAAGAGAGAAGAAAGAAATGAGAATAACTTATCTTTATAATATAAAAACAGAGAATTACTGTAATTATTCTTTCTAGTAATAAAGATCTGTTTTCTACATATATCTCTGATATAGATTATATAATAACTATATATAAAGAATATCAACACTGCATGTATTAAATAAAGATAATATTACTATGTAATACTATAGCTGTTTCTGTATATCTCTGAAAGCTATTAATATTTTCTTTGTCTCTTTATATTTAATAAGTTAGTAATATATTTCAATACACTTTCTCTTTCATTATTATTATTATTATCATCATTATTATTATCATTATTATCAACATCATTACTATTATCATTATTATTATTATTATTATCATCATTATTATTATTATCATTATTATATCATTTCTAACTGTCTTTTCTATCTTTATCTCTCTTTAATACTTATTAAAATCAATTATGTCATCTCTCTTCAAATATTCTGTGATTCTGCAGATTATCAAGGCATGTGAGTACTATTACAGATTGAAGAAAGAGAAGAAGAAGATGTTCAAGTGAGAGAAGACAGATTGTAAGATATATTATAATGTCTTAAAGAGACTCTGTAAAAGAGTAGAATGATAACAATTATAAGTAATACTTTTGATAGATTTAGACTGAACTAAGTATAGAAATAATACAGATAGCATCATCTATAAGAGATTAAAGAAGAAGACAGTGAAGAGTCTTATATAGTAGCAGTGAGATCAGAAGAAGTTCTGAGAATAATTTAAGTTTAAGAGAGAGAGAGAGAGAGAGAAGAAGAGTATTACTATAAATAAGTAATAATAGAAGAAGATTGAGAGAGTGTTGAAGTGAGAGATAAAGAAGTTAAAACTGATAAGTTTTTTATTTATTAAGAGATAATAATTTTTGATAATACTTCTGTTCTCTAATTGATTAGCAGAAGCTAGCAGAGAAGAAGAGAATTGAGATCTTATTCAGGTCTTGAATATACTTCATAATTCAGAATATTAAGAAGATAGCTCTACTCTCT